TCCTCCATGTACAAAAAAGGCAAACAGTCCCATCCACAGTACAAGACCAGGAGGAAGCACATGATCACAGGAAGCTCCCCCTCCCCCATCTCTTCCCCAGTGGACATACTTGACACGGTCTGATAGCTACCTCAGCTCATGGCGGAAGACCATGGAGCAGGAAGCAGGATGCTTCTGCAGTGACTGCTCATCCTCAGCCTTGCTTGGGAGGGGACTGGGCTGACTGTTGTTGCCTCAGCGCGGTGACTTCACCAGGTGGATGGAATTCTAAAAAGCGTACCCATCGTGGGCCAGGAGAGTTGTCTAGGAGAAGCTGAGAGAGATGAATCCATATCTCTGGATGGAACTCCAAGTTTGGCAGAAGCCAGGCAGTGTGCTCCGTTCCTGGCTCCGTCGCTTCTCAGTATGTCACCTCATACCCTCCTGAGCCTCCATCCCATCTCCCATCAGCAGTGTCCCTACAGCTGCCCTGGGCTGTTGAGGACACACTCTGTCCTTTGTCCAGTATTCCAGGGAACAGTGGACTTCTCTGTCCTTGGGGAGCTCCCCTTCCCACCGTGCTGATTTCCTAAGGATCTGTGACCTTGTCCCTTGCCCATAGGTGATTAGCCTATAGGTAGACACTGGACGAGAGCTAAGTTAATCCAGAGAAAATGGCTGTGGGCTGGAGGTCAGGAGCCATCACTGGCCCCATGCCTTCTTCCTGGAATAGAGATCTAAAGAGAAGGGAGAAGAGCGGTCAGTTGCCAAGTGGCTCAGCAAGTGAAGGTGCTGGCTGATTACCACTGCCCCTGATGATCTGAGCTCCAGTCCCTGGAGTCACACAGGAAAAAGGAATCAACTTCTTACAAGTTGTCCTCTGACATCCGTAGGGGCACCCACCCACCCACAAACAGAGTAGATAAATAAACGTAAGTTAAAAGGCAGAGGAAGAGAGAGAGAGTGAGAATCACCTAATAGTATTGGGGCCTTGGTGGCAGCTGTGTTAGGTTCCTGGAGTCCCCGGCCAGTTGGATTTGGATTTCAAGAGCCATACTTCCTCACCAAGCATGGATGGGACCTAGGCAACTAACAGGACCGTGCTTAGTCCCAAGCCTGGCCCACTGTAGCTCAGGCCACATGAATTCCTTTCCCTAAATGGACACCAGGCAGGGATAGGGCTTGGCAAGATATCAGGAGGATATGGAGCTTCAGTTCTCGTGAAGTGACAGGACTTCTCAGTGGTTGCCTGGATTAGAGTCAGGTGCCTTGGAACCCTGCAGAGACTCTCAGGAGACCAGAAGGAAAGCCAGATGCCATGCTGGGGAGCAGGAGAGGACTGAGCTGAGCTATTATAATAAAGATCCTACCCCGTTGGGTTGTGGGAAAAGTGGTCAACAAGTGCATTCTCTGTACCAGGGGGCTAATCCAGATGTTGTGTGCAGTCCCAGAAGGTGGCATCCAGATGATGGGTGCAGCCCCAGAAGGTGGCATCCAGATGTTGGGTGCAGCCCCAGAAGGTGGCATCCAGATGTTGGGTGCAGCCCCGGAAGGTGGCGTCCAGATGTTGGATGCAGTCCTAGAGGGTGGCTGTCAGGACAGGCTTGGCTGAGGAGGGAGGAGGAGGGACACGTATGTGGGTTGTCAAGGATGAGCAAGAGTTTTTCAGACAGGTAAAGAGACTGGGGAAGGGTGTTGGACTATCAGTACTCTGTGTGTGTGTATGTGTGTGGTGTATATATGTAGTGTACATGTGTGTGTATTCATATGTGTGTATATGTGTGGTATGTACTGGTCAGAGGCTGACATTGGCCCCCTTGCTCTATCACTCCTCCCTAATGCTAACTGGTTAGCCCCTCCTGGGATCCCTTGTCTTTGCCTCCAGCGCTGGAGAACTGGGATTACAGGCAGGGCATCACACTTGCCCAGCTTTTACATGGAGGCTGGGAATCAGAATTTTAGTCTTTATGTTTGCACGGCAAGTACTTTGTGAACTGAGCCATTGCGCCCCCCCAGCCCCTCTCTACCCATCTTAACTGCCATCATTAGTCCAGATCAGATGACTGAGGGTTGAGGTACCCTCATTGGAGCCTGTCTCACCTGTTTACTGAGTTTATGATCGTAAACGTATCATTCTCTGTTTGAATGCAAAAGAAACCTTAAAAATATTTATTATTTGTGTATGTAGGACATGTATGAGTATATGCCCCACATGTGTGTATGTGTATATATGCCATGTGTGTGCCACATGTGTGTTTGTGTGTATATGCCCTGTGTGTATATGTCCTGTGTGCATGTGTGTATATGCCCCCATATATATGTGTGTAAATGCCACGTGTGTATGTATATACCATGTGTGTATGTGTGTGTACCACATGTGTGTGGTTGCCCAAGGAAACCAGAAGAAGATGCTGGATCCTCTGGCGCTAGAGTTACAGGTGGTTGTGAGCTGCCTGATGAGGATGCTGGAACCAGAGCTTGGGGGCAATTGCAAGAGCATCACACCCTTCACCTTTAAGGGCTAAGCCATCTACTGAGCCCAGAAACTGTTTATTTTAAAGACTTAAATGAGGTAATATATGTAAAAAGATTCCAAACGGCATGTTTGCAGACATCTGTGGCAAAGCTCTCAACAAATGTACGGCTCACTATGAAAATCTTTCACGAACACGTCCAATTCCTTCACGTGATCATGGCTGTTACTGTTCACTGAGCTTCGAAATTCAGTTGGTCCAGTGTTTGCAGAGCATACACGCAGTTCTGGGCTCGATCCCAGCACCACATTAACTGGGTGGAAGATCAGAAGTTCAGGTCAGTCTTAGCTACATAGAGAGTTTGAGGCTACATGAGACCCTGACCAAAACCAAAATGTTCTGAGCACTGAGCAGTATGGCCGCTGGTATCTCTACTGAAGACAGACAAACCTGACCTGTTATATCCAGAAATGTGGATCAGTCTGTATTTGTTTAAAGATGTTAGGCCAGATCCAAGAGAATGGGTTAACCTTAGGACACACAGCAAAGGCAGAGGCATGGAGTGGGAAGGATTTCTCTATGGGCTCACTTTAAGGGGCACTGAGGCACCCCTCAGCGTGGCAGTACACCCATCAGTAGTGCAGAGAACAGGGGTGGCTGGGAACGGGGGTGCACAGGGCACCTGCTGAGGCTTTTCACCTCCATTCCCACCATCCCCCAGTTCAGAAGAAGTGCGGGTAGACCTGGGTGAAATCCATAGGGGTCCACGGGGCACAGGGGAGTCTCAGCTGGCAAATCAGCCACATCCGATTTCCCTCTCTGGTCCGGTTTCCTTCCCGGCACCCCACGGTTTCCGCTAAAGGTCCTAGTAGAAATTTACAGCTATTCCGGGATGGGGTTTTTCCATCAGGGTGCGTCTTGGGCCACAGCCTCGGAGGGGAGGAGAGGGCCTGTGTGCCCCCTCGGAACTTCCCACTTGCGCTGTTCCAAGGTCGCCCTGGGCTTTGAGTCCTGGGACACGCTGACCAGGGCCCCGAGTTCGGGACGTCCAGCAAACAGGAAGCGAGACAAAGGCGACCGCTTATCGGGCCGCCCCGCATTCCTTTCAGGTGATGCCTGTGGGCTGCCAGGACCCCCGGTGCGGACCTCGCTCCGCTGGTGACTTAGGAGCTCCCTTCTCCGGTCCTCCAGACAGCTCCTTGCACGTTACTGGCATCTACGCCCAGAGGGACCCACAGCTAGCCTTCAAAGGGAAGAGGAAGGTGAAAGAATAAACTGGAAAGTCAATAGGGTGTGGCGGTGCTTGTCGCCGAGTTCGGTGTTTGGGAGGTGGAAGCAGGAGGATCAGTTGAAGGTCATCATCAGTTACACAGAGAGTTCGAGGACAGCCTGGGGTACTCGCTACGTGAGAACCTATCCATGGAAGAAGAAGGAACCGACTCCTGATGGACTCTGGGGGCTTCAAGCGCAAATGCACACACAAGGCAAATAAGAGGTGAAAGGGCAGGCAGAGGAGAACTGGGAGAGGTGGTGTCTAATCCGTGCTGGGGTGGGCGTGGCCCTGGCGCAGCATCTTCTGTATCAGTTGTCCTTTACAGGGACCACGTGAACACAGGGACCTGGCTTTGAAATGAGTGGCAGGGGAGGGCCTGGAGACCAGAAAGTTCTTAGAGTCTGGGTATGTGCTGTCATCTGGGGAGCAGAGAGGTCCTGGGGCTGTCACATTCTAACAGGGTCTCCAGACCCAGGATTTGCTCCGCAGCTTCCTGCATCCACCGAGTGTTGTGATTGCAGGTGTGTACAGGGTAGGCAGTGTGTACCACCCGGGTACAGGGTAAGCTGTCAGTTAAGACAGGACTCTGGGGCCTTGAAATCAGGCTGAAGCCTGGAATGGAAAAGCAGTCCTGACTCTCACAGAAAGGAAAGGAGAGGATAAGAAAGACAAGGGAGGGTGTAGAAGAGGAGGGGAGGTGATGGAGGGTCACATATCGCTAGCTGTTAGGCACTGGGAGCCTGGGGATATACAGCGGGGAAAGGATTTGTCTCAGGAGCAGGGAGAGAGGAGGGTCTTGCTTCTCTGCCTGCTAGATTGCTTCTGTTAATTGGAAGACTGGGCACACCCTTCCCCCATTCCTTGGGCAGTGCTGACTCAGCATCTGAAAGGGCAGACCACCTCTGGGGGTCAAAGGCCATGTTATTCAGGCCCCTCCTCCAAGTGACTAGGCATCGACAATAAGAAATAGAAGGACAGTTACATTTTTTTGGCCATCCACCCATGCCTGTCGCCTAGTGGCATGCATTCTTCCGCCTCTCATCCCTCTGCTTCCTCTTTCTTCAGGGTCTCGTACTCCAAGGCTGTCCTCAGACTTGCTACCTAACCCAATAATAACCTAGAACCCAGGCCCTCAGGCCTCCGTCTCCCAAGTGCTGGGATCACAAGCCTGTGCCCTCATTCCCAGCTTTAGGGCGGTTCTTTCTGTTGTCTAGCCGTGGGCCACATTGGCTCTGACTTGGTTTTCTCACCTTGAAGAGTCCAAGACACTGTAATTATCAATACTTTGGTTTTATTTTAAAACGGTGAAAAGAAAAATAAATATATTTAAAGACTAAGAAAACAGTACTGGGAGTTTTGGAAAGGTACAGCCAGAACGGAGACCAGGAAGATGGGAAGGAACAACCGAAGAGGAAAAAGTTAAGAAAATGGGAATGGGATTAAGTAGTAGGAAGAGTGGGGTGTCTTAGCTCCTGTGGTCTCGGACTGGTGAACCAGGGGCCTGGGATCTATACTCCCTGCAGTTTGCAAACCAGGCCCTCTCCAGTTCTGGCTGTGATGTCTGGGACCTCCTCCAGCCTCACCCATCTCTGGCTCCCAGGCCGGACGCGGCATTAGCGGATCTGTGTGTACGTGAATTAGCACCTGGTTCCCCTGACTGCACCCAAGGCTTCATCAGGTGTGGCCCCTAAGGCCTCTTCGTAGCTGTGGATCCCACCTAGTGGCTGCCCGTCATTAATGCCCCATGTCCTCCATTCCCACACGGCCCCAGACGCCAAGCACGAAGCTCTCGATGTCACACTCGTTGGTGCCACGCACGATTCGGAAGTGGCCCCTCTCACCCCACCATGGGCCCCATGAGTTGGCAGCAGTCTGGAAGTGAAAAGGAGAGAGACATGAGGCCAGGGATGGGCCAGGGCCTAGGAGGGCAGGGGATGTGGAGCTCAGCTTTGCACCAGGGACTCACCCAGTATTTGATCCTCCTCCCGTCTGGCATCGTCTCCTCTCCCCACCTAGTGGCAAAGCAAGAAGGAGGGGGTGCTGATTGCACCAGGTCCCAGCACCCGAACAAAGCACCCCTCACCCACCCCTGTGGCTTCTGAAATCTGAATGCAGCGGGCACTTGAGCGTCCACCCTTCTTTGCACAGCCTCCGTCACTCCGAGTTGGCCAGAGTCGGGACAAGTGGTAAACAACCCTTGAGGGTTTTCTTGGTTTTGTTTGTTTGGTGGGTTCGTTGTTGTTTTTGTTGTTTTGTTTTTTGAGACAAGGTCTCACATAGCCCAGACTGGACCTGAAGTTGCTATGTAAAGACTAAACCCCGGTTCTTCTGCCACCGTCTCCCCAATGCTGGGATTAAGGTGTTTTTCCCCACCCTTGCATTCTCACCTCTATTTCAAGGGGGCGCTGTTCACTGTTCCCAGGCACCCTTCAGAGCTCCCCACTGTCCACGCACCCCTGCAACCACCCCTCCTCTCTGTGTCGGTTCTCTGGCAATAGGACGAGGGGAGGGGCAGCCTCAGCTCCGCAGAAAACACCAAGAGTTCCAAAGAATTCCCAGTGTAAAACCCGCTGCTCCTAGTCCTGTGTGCGCACAGGAACCTCACCCTGTGATATTTTTTTTTTTTTTTTTTTTTTTTGGTGTTTCGAGACAGGGTTTCTCTGTAGCTTTGGTGCCCGTCCCGGAACTAGCTCTTGTAGACCAGGCTGGCCTCGAACTCCCAGAGATCCTCCTATCTCTGCCTCCCGAGTGCTGGGATTAAAGGCATGCGCCACCACCGTCCGGCTCACCCTGTGATCTTGACCGAGTGAGTCCCATGTCTGCGGTACCGCTCCGGCCTCCCCTGGCTTACAGGTGTGTGACTGTAGATGCCGCTCTGGTACAAGAAGAAATCCTCATGTACTTCCATGAGCGCTGTGGGCAGAGACAGGGAGGGCGCCTGGCCCATTAGTACAGGTTCTGATGCTGAGACACTGGGACCTCATGTTAGAGACTGATTTTTCCAGGAGCTTCCTGCAAGGAAGGGGGAATGGACCCTCTTCCACTCCTGTTCCACTGCACCCAGCGCCTAAAGCTGTAGGTCCTGTGCCCAGCCTCCCGCAGGAAGCTCCTGAACCAGGGACAGGCTAGGGATGTTTACCTTGAACGGGGCCGTTCTCCATTAACTCCTTCATGATCTCCTTCTCCTGGGGAAGGAGGTCCATCAAGGTAAGATTTAGCCGGCCAAACCCCCCAACTCTTGCTTCTGCCCCCTCCCCATGTTTATTTTAGACGTACATCGGAGCCCAGGCGGTAGGCAGGGGTGACCTGGTAGATGTCATTGGAATCAACCTGACTATTGGGGCAACGGGAAGTGGCCTGGCGCTTGCCCCGGCCCATTGCGCGACTGTGCATCATACAGCGAGGAGTGGTACTGGCTTCGTTCTGCTCACGGCCGGCGAATGGGTAACAGTTGTCAGACACCACCCTGAAGAAGGGAGCGAAGGCCGTGATGCCTGACACCCGAAAGCCCAGGCTCTTCAGGGTGCCTCGTCTTCTTCCAGCCCACAGACCCTTGTTGCATACCCTCGGCGCCGCAGGAACCACCAAGCGCCATCAAGACGCCCACCTCGGCAGCCCCGCTGGTGGTGGGTATCACAGGACAACAGGTTCTGCGGTGACAGGATGGGCGTCATGTGTCCCAGAGAATGGATGGAGACCCGGTCCGATGCAACAGCTAGTGGGAGAGGTAAAAGGTGCTGTCAGAGGCGGGGCTATGGCCCTCCTCTCTGGTACTAGCTCCTCCCCCTAGACACACCTGCTGTCGAGAAAGCCCAGGAGCCTGCGCAGTTGCCCTGGTCCAGTGGCTCATGGATCAGGTTGGGCCACTTCTCAGAAGCCTCAAAGGCCGTGGGTAGTGCTTCCCCTTGGCCCGGCACCATCTGTAAGACAATAGTGATGACACTTGCTTCCTAGCATTCCTTGTTGTCCCTGGAGCCCAGGCTTTGGGGGACGCTGAAAGTCCAGAGCCTCCAGCAGTTGGTTCTGGAGCTGTCCTGGGGTGCGGGGAGGGAGCCAGTTACTTCCAACTTGACCTTGAGTGGGGTCCCCCAAAGATCACACAGGGGTAATGAGGCCTACTCAGCAAATGAGTCACCAAGGCCAGCCAGCAGCAGGGACGCCTAGGCCAGGGCCACCAGCTCCTGCTCTCAGCTCCTGCCACTCTCTCTGTACCTTCTGGTGAGCCACACCCTCCTTCCTGCCACGGCAGTGGCCTTCAAGCCCCAAAGGACTGGAGCGGGAAGAAACAGTAAAGTCCCGTGATCAGGCAGGTCGCCAAGACAAACAGCAGAAAACAGCAAGCAGCCCCAGGGAGAAAGGCAGGGCCAGAGGCTGGTCACCCTGGCCTTGAGTAGAAGTCCCCAGCCTCTCTACGTCTTCTTTGAGGGACAGCACAAGCCCCACCCAAGCCTGCTGCACGAAGTCTTCCCCCCTCTTTGACTGGTGAGAAAACAGAAGCCCCCTCCTCCCTGGGGGCTTCACTGAGTCGGCATTTTTTCCGAGAATTGTTGCTTCTGGCCAGAGCTGGAAGACTGTCTGTCCCTCGTTTCCTAAAATACCAAGGTGACCCCTGACCCTTTGGGTCTTGACCCAGCTGTACTGGGACCAACAGCATTTTTCCCAGGCTGAGGAAGGCGGGAGGGGCTGCCACCAGAAGTAGGTTTAGAAGCTAACCGCAACACTGCCAGAGAAGGCACCTATATGCCCCGGGACATACAGCCTCGTCCTAGGGGATAGCCCCTTGGCAGAGCAAGATAAGCCACATCATCCATGATGTGCTAAGCCACCGGGAGAAAGATGGTGAGGATGTGCACAAGGGCGGACTTACATAAATCTCATTCATATTCATGACGGAGGAAGATGGGCGGATTGTGCCCAGGCGGTAGCGAATGCCCTCGTCTAGGGTCATGCCCCAGAAGGCACTATGGTTCCCAGCCTGCCACCTGGAGGAGAGAAGGTAAAGAGAAGTAACAGACCTAGCAAGGCCAGAAGCCCTGGGGCTAACGCATGATGGCTACAAGGCACAGAGAAGTAAAATCCAGTGTGTGTGCGCCTAGCACAGTGACCATGTCTAAGGATCATGTATGTGGACATGCATGTGCACTCCTGAGCCCACCATTGCCGTGCCCAGAGCCTCTCACCCGTAGTTGCCCCGATTGATGGCATTAATCATGTCTGGGTCCACGAGACATGGGTCCTGGTCACACTCCCACTGCCCTTTCTCCTGGCAGGTGCTGATAAGAAAGAAAGACAGACAGAAAGGAAGAAATTATTTGTAGGGCTGGGGGCCCCTGAGGAACCTTGGAGGTTCACATGGGTGTGGAATTCTATACCAGAAACTATACTATAGTCAAGCCCCTGTTTTTTCGACAGGGATTCTCTGTGTAGTCCTGGCCATTCTGTAATTCATTAGACCAGGCTGGCCTCAAACTCAGAGATCCACCTGCCTTTGTCTCCCGAGTGCTGGGATTAAAGGCATGCGCCACCACCATCTAGCAAGTTTACAGCTCTTCAGTTCATCCCCACTGCCCCGGATCTCAGTGCTCCTCAGCATCACCTGTATGGAGATGCAGCACAGGTTCTGTTGAATGTGGGTCAGAGTGAGTTCCAGCTCCTGTGACTTCCTGCATCTCAGACTCAAAACCTGGAGTCACCTTTGACCCCTCACGTCTGATCCAGCCACGCCTTAACACAAACTCAGGGTAAAGACTTTGCCTCAGTCTCTCCGCGGCCACCTCCGTCCCATCACCTTTCACCTAATCACTGCTGCTGTCTCCTTGTCCTGGTCTCTGGCCTCCACCCTACGCCGCCCATGTCCCCAAAGTATATTTTTAAATTGGTGGCCACAGCCATCCTGTTAAGCCAGTCCTCTGTTAACAATCCTCCACTGGCTTCACATCGTGGAATAAGAGCCAAAGTCCTTCACCGTGACAAAGCCTTATGTGATCTGTTTTTCCGTTCTGTCTGACCCTTACTCCTCCCAGACCTGGACTCTAGCCACAGTGGTTGTTCATACCTGCCAAACTCCTGCCCGGTGCCTTTGAGCTGCTCCTCCAACCACATCTTCCACGTCTCCCTCTCATTTTCTCCAATTCCTCATTCAAATGTCACCTCTCAGAGAAGCTTTCTCTGGTCGTCCTATCTCCGCCCACTTCCTTGACTGGCAGAGTCCCTTAGCCACCAACACCTAGTGTCCTACTGGTGTTTATACTGCTTTCCTTTTTCCTTGTTTTCTGGCAGCCTTGACCAGGTAGCTGAAGTTGGCCTTGAACTCACTGTGTAGCCCAAGAATGGTCTTGAACTTCTGATCCCCCTGCCTCTGTACCACCCATGCCAACTTTTACGTGGTGCTGAGGATTGAACCTAGGGTTTCTTACCTGCTAGGCCAGCACTCTGTCAACTGACCCATATTCCCAGTCTACTTATCCCTGTCCCCTCACAGACTCTAGGGACACTTCAGGAGTTAGGAGAAAAAAAAAAAAAAACAAGAGCATGGTGAGCATCCAGCACGTACTGTTTTTATTGTCCTTAGGACTGAACCCAAGGCCTTATGGATGTTAAGTAAATGCTCTTCCCTGGGCCACACCCTTGGCCCTCTTCGACTCTATTTTGAGACAGGGTGTCACTAAGTTATGCAGGCTGGCCTTGAATTTACTCCGGAGTTCTGGCTACCTTTGGACTTGGTATCCTCCTGCCTCAGCATCCAGCATGGCTGGAACTGTCAACCTGCATCCTAGCCAATATCTGTTGGGTCAATGAATGACTTGAGGTGGCACAGCCAAGTGGCTAAGAAAGTAGACATTAGAGTTTAACTCCTGAGTTTGGATGCTACTAGCCGGTTTTGTGGCCTTGGAAAGGTTGCTTAAAAGCCCCACCCCCTCTATCTATCTTTCCTATCTGTAAAGTGAGGACAATACACTTAGTGCCACTTTCCAGGGATTTCCAGGCCTCGGAAGGGCTTGACCCATTGTGGGCACTTTGGGCTATTGTTCATGCTTCAGAAACCCTGGGCCCCTCTTCTCCTGCTCATGTCCAACTGGCCACACCTCGGGATGCATAATAGCATCTCAGATTAAAGCCACCCGGCCTTCCCCTGGTCTGCCCCTCCCACCGTCCTCATCTGAGAACATGGCACCCAGCTGTTGTCGAGCGCCAGGGTCAGTGGTGAACCTTCCATGTCCCCTGTCAGAGCATGCCAAAGACACACATCCTGAACCCACCTTCCTGCCCTTCCTCCTCTGCTGCCACCCCCACTCCAGGTCAACTCTCTCAGCCGTCCCTGCCCCAGATGTTCTGAGGCCAGACAGATCCACGAGCAATGCTGGTTAGACTGGAGGTCTATAAGGAACTTTCTTTAGGCACGCAGACGCTGGGACACGGCTGAGCCTTCTCCAGTCTCTGCTGCTTGACAGTCCCACCAAGAAGACCTTATCCTACCTCCTGCCTTCCCCTAAGTGGTGCCTCCTCCCTCCCCCATGTATAGGTCCCTTGTTTGTCCTCTGCTCACGCCATCAGAGAGCCCCGAGCAGCCCTCCTTTCATCCATGCTCCCCTCCCCACTCTAAGCCAGGATCCCCCTCATCCTCTCTCCCTGTAGAACACCTATAGCAGCTTGTCATAACATTTGTGTGGTTTTTTTTTTCTTTTCCATGTCCTTCACTACGAAACTACAAGTTCCCATGGGTCCAGACTTGCGCCTGTCTCCTTCCAGCTGGCCCTCCTGGACCCAACACGGTGCCTACGACACAGTGGGTCTTCAGTAATTAGGCATCAGCTGGAGGCTTGAATTCTAGGCATTCTACGAAGCTTTTACAAGCTCATAACTCTGCTATTACAAGATTCTAAACAGCCTCCTTCCAGGCAACCCAGGGCACCCGCCTCCAATGCCACCTTATAAGGAGCCTCCAGGGGAGCCAAGCCCCAATATGGCTGGCTCTCTAGCCCTGGAGCCAGCGGGCGGTGCTCTAGAGAGCCAGAGGGACCTGCGGGGGTAGGGAGGCCCCTTCTTCTACCTTCTTCAACAGCTCTTGGGCCCTTCAGAAGCATCCCTGCTGGAGATGTCCAGCCTGGAAGGTACACAGACAGTCTTCCACTCTCAAGTGGGATTCGGCCACCAGGACCTGTGTCCTGAAGAGGTCAGCCAATGCTTTCCTGTCCCCATCTCTTGAGCCCCAGGGCTGTGCAGGTCTAGACAAGACTGGTAGCAACAGGTCCCAGCATTCCAGAGGGGCCTGGGACAGCAGTGAAAAACGTTAACCCCTTGGCAGCCACCCTATCAGAACAGCAGAATTCTGCAGATACGCCCCGCCCTTCTGAGCACACACACACCCTTCCCTCACCCAGACACCCGCCAACACCCACGCACACATGCACACAAGGTCCCCATTCCCACAGTGACCCTGGCACCCCTCACCAGTGAGGCAAAGGCAAGAGCTAGGCGCAGTGCATTCCGAAAAGTTTCCTTCTCCCTGGAGCCTCCCAGGCCAGGCAGAGGGAGGGGCGGGGCAAACTCAGGGCAGTGGAGACCCCATGGTTTCCAGTAAGGCCTCCATGTTCCCCACCTGCTCTCCTTCCCAGCTCAGACCAAGGATAGGATACCCATGACCCTTTCCTCCTGCTGCTAAGAACAGGGGTTTAAGGGTGGGGAGAGGGCACATTCCAGGGAAGGCCCTGCGGCAGGCCACTGGCTGGTGGCCAGCTCAGTCATCCCTGACCCTCATCCCACCCAGGACAGCGGATGCTGCATCAGAGGTTTCCTTCCTGGCGTCCCCTTCTTGGACTCTCCCGTGACAGCAGGACAAGCTGGGAGGGAAGCCAGCCCAAACCAGGAGGGGTGGAGGGAAAAGTCCTGGCTTAGGTGTGGCACCCAGCCAGACCACCATGGCTGACCACTCCTAGGCTTGTGACTAGAATTCCATTATATGAGATGGTGTGGTCAGTTTGAGAGTTTCCATATCACGGACGCGGACACTGAGGCCACACCACAAAAAGGACATCCTCGGGAATGGGCGACAGGGTTTGGCACCCGGCCTGCTGGCCACGTGGCACTAAAAGTGAGCCCACCCCAGTCTCTCATACTCACCACCGATTGCAGTTGTCCCAGTAGGTTCCGAAGACTGGGTAGATGCGGCCCCCATGCATGCATCCTACAGGAGGGAGAGAAGTCGAGCTGAGATGACCGGGTCCTCGAGGCCAGGTTGCCCAACACCTGCCCAGCTCATCTTAATCACACGCCAATCCCAGCTCTCACTGACTCTAAGGAGAAACTGTATCTTGGGATCTCTGCAGGCCCCCACACCAACTGCCACATCGGAGCGGTTCAGGAACTCCGGTTTGGGCCCAATGTTTCACCTGGATGCCAGCCATGGCATTCCTGGTACCCTTTGTCACTCAAATGAGTTGGAACTTGCAGTTGGGGCATGGAAGGAGCTTGAGGAAAGAAACTGAAGCCCAGGGAAGGCAAGCAACTCCCTTAAGATAGCACAGCATTTTGCTACAGCAACTCAGACATGGGTTCACCTTAGCCGGAACCCCCCACCGCCTGCAGGCTGTGGGAAGGACTTTCTTGATTCTCCTCTTGGAGCAGGGTGGTGCAGGGAAAGATCACGTTCAGGGGAAGCGCACGTGCAGGCAGGCGAGGGCAGGAGCAGATTTAGTCACCCACTAGCATGGCCAATCTCAGAGGAGCAGAATCCTAACTAAGGTAAAAATCGCCTGGCTGAGACAACCTGGCCACCCCTGTGTGCTCTATCAGCCCCAGGGTGAGTCAGCAGGCGGGGCAGCCGCCTTCCCTGTACTGACTAGGAGATAGGGCTCAAGCCTGCCTGCCCTGCCTGCCCTAGGGCCACCTTAGTCCTAACAGGATCTTCTCTTTCAGAGTTGCTTGAGCCAAGTAAGACCACAGGAGGGAATAAATAGGGTGAGGATTTTTATTCCTACGTTTTTCAAAGCCGGGAAATGTCCATTATCTGCCTTGTTCCTGAGCTTGCTGAGACTGCAGCTGACAAGGTGTCCACCCTCTTGGCTACCTGAGTGCCCACCTTGGACGGGAGGGAAGGGGGGTGGCACCCCGAGGCAGAAGTCCCAGAAGTCAGGGCAGCAGTCTGAGACGGTGCGGTTGCAGAAGAGGTCACAGTAACAGGTGGCTCCCAGGTAGGGCAAGGCACACTCGTCAGCTCGGCCACGACAGCACAAGTCCCGCTCTTGGCAGTACCGGCCACCAGCGTCCCGGATGCCCCGCAGGTGCAGTCCTGGCGCCAACTCCCTTCGCCAGCGGCTCCGTCTGGCTTCCAGGGCAGCCTGGCCAGCCAGCAGCAGCAACAGCAGCCCCAGCCGACATCCCCACATGGTGCCTCCTGGCCGGGGAAGGACAGAGGTCAGGGGACAGAGGTGTTGGGCTCTGGAGACTCCCTTACACACGTCAAGAGTGGGTCTCCCTACACGTGTCCTGGAACCTTCCCAGGAGGCTCAGCGAAGCGAAACGTCGGACCTTGATTCCCGAGTCCCGGGGAAGAACTCAGTACTGGGCGTCAATCTGCTCATGGGGACAGGGGACATGTGAGAAATGGGCCCCCTCCCTGGCCCACCTAGGGACTGTCAAGGGCAAAGAAATGGAAACTGTGACGTTCCCAATACCCATTCTTCTCCCCTGCCCTTGGTCCCTCTACCCCTCTAACGTATTTGACTTCGATTCTTGGCTCTGTGTCTTCCTAGTCCCCCTCCAGCCACCTCCTGATGTGTCCTGTCATATCTTCGATCCTCTGTGCCCCTCTGACCCTCTCTTTTTGTGCCTCTCCACCCTGAGTCCTGCTCGCGCGGCGTGCCCCCTCCTCCCTGTTCCTTCTCTCTATGCCCTCTGCCCTCTGAACAGGGAGAGTCCCTACCTGGTGAGGGGTGTGGGCTGGACCCAGGCTGCCCTGCGCGCCTCCGCCTCCAAGCTCGAGACTGCCAGACCGAGTCAAGTGAGGAGCGCAGGGCGGGACGCTTTTTGTACCGCCCTGCCCGCAGCACCCGCCCCAAGCAGGGACTGCGGGAGGGCGGGGCCGTTGGTCGGCACCTGAAGTAGCCCGTAGCTCCCGACTAGGGTCTCGAAGGGAGGGCTGGTTAAGGACCGTGAGCACCTGTTTGTCTTCCCTTGGGGAGGGGAGGGGTCTCTTGTCAGGGGAAGACTTTCCTTAAGGAGCAGGACTGCAACTCAGGAGAGAAAGGATTGTGGACTGATACTAGGAAGGACTTTCCAGCCCATTTTAGGAGGCCGACGAGGTGTGCGAAGGGGAGCTAAGAAGCTAGTGAGATCAGAGTCTAGGATTTGATAGGGACTGAGAGCTAGGGGCAAAATTCTCTAAGCCAACCCCCAGGCCCTTCCGGATGAAAAATAGCCGCGCACATCCTTGTCCCAGTGACCCTGGGCTGGGGGCCACTCCGAGCCACGGCAGCTCCCAGGAATGACAGGAATTTCCAGTGGATGATTCTGGAAACTGCCTAGGTTCAGGGCACTTAGCAGCTCCTCCCCAGGAGGTGGTGCTCCGCGGAGGCTGAGTGTACCCAGCCGCCCCTTGTGGGGTCTGCCCTCCCCAGTGTGGTGGGCACCTTGCCCAGCACCGCCTCCTCCGCCAGGCCTAAGGGCATCCTTCTTGGCACGGGGCGCCTTGAAGGGCCCCACATCAAGAGCCCTGGCAGCTGGGGCCCCCTGCAGAGCCCCCTTCCGTTTCTGGCCTAACCTTTGCCTTGCCCTCACACAATGGGGCTTCTGTCCCTTGAGGCCTTCCGGCTGTCACTTTGTGCCTCCCCATTGTGCAAGCTCCCTCTTCCAACAGGTTGGGCCCAGGGCCAGAAGACTCACTCGGTGGAGGAAGGACACCACACCTGGACAGTTGTCCCATCCTGCTCAGGGGCAAGCAGGAGTATCAGGATTCCCTTAGTGCTCCTGGGCAACTCTGTCCTCTCTGTTCCCTCCCCTCAGCTGTTACCTCTGCGGAGGGCGAGAGAGCAGCACAAGGGGGTACTTGTGGCTGAATCACCCCCTGCTGCGGGCACATTGGTGCTGTGCCCTGATGTCTAGGGTACAGAAACACCCAACGCATGGACAGGACCTGAGAGGACAAAGCCTAAAAGATGAACTGAGGCTCAAGAGAACAGACTCGGGCTGGGATGTAGCTTCCTTGGGAAGAGTGCTCGTTCAGCATGCAGGAAGGCCTGGGTTCAAGCCCAGCAGCATATAAAAAGCATGAGGCTGGTGGGATGGCTCAGTGGGTGAAGGTGCTTGCGACCAAGTCTGATAGCCTGAGTTCAGCCCCTGGAATCTAGGCAGTGGAAGGAGAGAATAGATTCCACAAAGTTGCCGTCATACTTCTAATGCATAGAGACTGCCCACGCGAGCATGCATGGCAACAAGGCTGTGTACGCATGCTTGTGCACGTTTGTGTGCCCGCATACACACACACACACAATAAATACTTGTTCTGTGGCACATGTCTGTATTCCCAGCACTCAGGAGGTGAGGCAGAAGGATCAGAAGTTCAGGTTTGGAGCCAGTTCAAGGCCACTCTGGAGATGGGGGCTGGAGGCACACGCGAGCACAGACTTATCCAAGGTCACATAGCCGGAACACAGGCTCCCTAGTGCTCTGCCAACACTGTCTCCCCAGGCATCCTTAGTCACCATGACAGGTCTCAACACCCTGCTGGGTGGGAAGCCCCCTTTCCTGTTTGCTCTCCGTCCATCTTACTGCAAGGCAGGTTCCGCAGAACCAGCGGACATCATGTCCCCTGGGAGGAGGCTAGCTTCACCCGAACCCAGGCCTGGGTACCTACTTTCATGGGTCAGGCTCACAGTTCTGAGACTGGGAGCCACAGCATTGGGTCTATCTTTGCCCAAGAGTACCCCTTCCCTGTAAACTGCTGCATGACTGTGACGTGTGTGTGTGTGTGTACCTGGATCTTTTGACTCTCTGCCAGTTCTTGTCTATCTGGGTCTACCAATTTACCTGCTTGCCCCATAGCTGTGTGGACAGTGTGTGGCCCTGTGTCTATCCTGGGTCTGTCTGTCCGTGTGCCCAGTGTAAGCTGCTGCTGCTTCAGTGTGGTTGAAAGCCCCTTTGCTTGTGAACACCTGTCTGCTAGTGCCTGTGGATTAGCTGGGTCTGTCTGGAGTTTGGCTGTTTGGCTGTCTGTGTCCGTCTGTGCACAGGAGACAGGAACTTGGAGCAGGGAGGAGAGCAGACCGGATCTCCCCTCCACCCCTCATCCCTGTCATCACAGAGTTTGGCTCTGAGCCCACCTCAGTGGAATCTCATGACTCACTCACTAGATTCCTTGGCTAAGAAGCAGAGGAAAAGGGCAGAGCCTGGGGGTGCCAGACACCCCACTTTCCTTTTCCAAGGAACCATCCACCCTCCTGACTCACTCTCTAAGTTTTGCTCAGAATGGAACCTTGTCCTAGAGGCTGGGATAGGGCAGCGTGCAAGGGACACCAGCAAAGTCCCTTCTGTTGCCCTCTGGTCTTCCCAGGAGGCAGAGGGCCTGAGATTCTGTAGTGACTCTGTCCTCCTGCTCATGGGACCCTAAGTAGGCTGTCCCTCTCTGGGTCCTGGTTTTCTACCTATTACCACAACTTCCCAGAAGTTTTCTTGAACTTGCTTTTTTTCTGCAGGAGAGGGGAAGCCACAGGGTGACAACATGTCTAAGGACCCACAGCAGAGGCCTGGCCTCCTTTGGTTTCCATAGAGACACCAAACTTCTCCCTACTGCTCCTAGAGTCCAGGGCCTATTCTCTAGGAGTTGAGCTGGGCAGCCACGCCCCACTAGGTCTCTGGACTTGAGCAGCCCAGACAGCACTCCAGCCAAGGCTAAGTAGGTTTCTCTATGCCCCCTGGTCACTTGGACAAGTCCAGGGCTTCAAGCAATGATGCTGGAGACTGAGTCATAAGTCTGAGCCAGGTGCAGTGTCACAGAGTGTTGGGGTCTACTGTGGTGCGCTGAGCTTTCCTGAAGTGTGCTAATTGTCACGGCGCACGGCTGTGTTTCTAACGCTCGCCTGGAGTTCAGCTGGTAGAGTACTTGCCTCGTGAGCACAAAGTCCTGGGCTGGACCCCTAGCACTGTATAAACTGGTGGGTGGCACCTGCCAGCAGGGTTTGGGATGGGGAGGTAGAGGATTGAGGGGTAGAGGAGGGAGGTTTAGGAATTCAAGATTGTCCTGAGCTACATAGAAAGTTTAGGGACAGCCTGGGCTACTTGAGACCATTTCAGAAGAAAAAAAAATATTCCTCAAGGCCTAGTGGTGCACAGTAAGTGTAGTGGGACACGACGGTCCTGGGGATGACATACTGACCCTGAGGGACCACGTTGTATCATGCCATGTCATACTGGTTTTGGTGGCAGGCTTTTGTGCCGACTTGACAAAAGCTAGAGTCTTCCAGGAGAAGCCCAAAGTGAGAAAATGCCTCCGTAAGATCAGGCTGTAGGCAAGCGTGTAGAGCATTTTCTTAATTAGTGATTGATGGGGAGGGGCCAGCCCATTGTGGGTGGGGCCACCCCTTGGCTGGTGTCCTGGGCTGTATAAGAAATCAGGCTGAGCAAGCCATGGAGGAGCAAGCCAGTAAGCAGCGCTCTTCCACGGCCTCTGGATCAGCTCCTGCCACCAGGCTCCTGCTACTGAGTTCCTGTCCTAACTGCCTTCCATGACAGTGACTTGGAAGCATAAGTGGAACAAACCCTTTCCTCCACAAGTTGCTTTTGGTCATGGTGTTTCATCACAGCAATAAAAACCATAGCTAAGAACACTTGCGTCAGGTTTTTTATATTATTATTATTCATTCAACGAGTATTTGTTGAACTCCAACTATATATCAGGTTCTGCAGCAGGTAGGGAACATTGAGGATTGAGATGCACAAACCCAGGTCCTACTGTGAAGTCCTGAAGGGGATGGGCAGATAGACACAGAGACAGTCAATAAGCAGGCCAGATGTCGCAAACGCCAAGCAATGTGAAGCTCTGCATAAACCCTGGGGACCTGGAGTCATACAGGTCACTGTGATCTCAGAGGTCAGGCAGTGTCTGAGCTGTGACGTCTGCAGGAGGAGAGTCTGCACACAGGCCTCGGGTGGGGACAGGTATTCCAGGGTACCAGATGCTCAGGAGCAAAAGTCCTGAGGCTGCCCGCAGCTGAGTGTGCTGGAGCAGGAGGGCCACCATGGGCTGGGACAGATGAGCTGTGATGAGCCTGGCTGTAGAAAGGAGCTGGGATTGTCTGCTGCAGCTGAGGAGACTTAAGTCTGAGCAAAGCCCAAGGTGATTGACGGTACACACCTGCAATCCTAGTACTCGGGAGGTAGAGGCAGGGGGAATGTAAGTTTGAGACCAGCCTGGGCTACCTAGGGAGAACCCACCAACTAATATTAATTAATTAGTCTGGTTTAAACACATAGAGGTTCTCGCTGATGTTCAGTAGAGAACAGGCTGTCACGGGCCAAGCATAGATTCTAAAAGGCTGCGTGGGAGGCAGTGGGGGAACCCAGGCTCCTGGTGCTGAGGCTGGAATGAGCCAGTGGTAGCGGCAATCAGAAGTGGAGCCTGTTTGTGGCATATCGTGGAGATGAAATTGACCAGACTTGCTGCAGAGCGGGATGCCAGGGACTAGAGAGAGTGGAAACCAGGCCTGGCTGCCAAAGCCCTGCTCTCCTGCCTACCGAGGGGCGGAGCCCCGTTGAATCTGAGTGGGCTCATGATAGCCTCTAGGAAGGGAGCCAGGATGACCTGTGGGGACTCATAGCCAGGATCAGAAGGGAGAAAGCAACCCCAGGCCTTGGGTTCTCCCATAGAAGGGGCTGGCAGAGAAGCCTGCTACCCAGGGGTCCCAGCTATTTGTGAGGCTGAGGCAGGAGGAAGGAAGATTTGAACCCAGAGTTCAAGCAGGTTCAACATAGTGTG